ACGCGGTGGAGAAAGAGGGGCCGAGCCTGGGCCTGATTCTTGAGAAAACACCAGAGGTGGTAAGCACACCGCGCTCGAACAAGAGAGTTGAAGTGAACATGGGCGATGGAAATGGCTTGTTAATCACGAACTTGGGGGTGGTATGGAAGCTACTAAGACCCTCCTGGTGTCCACATCCCCACGCGAGTCTGATCGAGGAAACCACCGAGCAAGTGAGGTTAGCACCAACGGAAGATGAAGATCTGGCAAAGTTGAGTGTGTTGCACAAGCTAATCCCACCTCAGATACAGGAGTCAGGCGAAAAGACGAGCAAGCTCGGGTCAGCAAAGAAGATGGAGCCGGGTAGCTGTCTGGATTCGACGTGTGGGAACGGAGAGCACAGCTGCGATGGACGGTCATGTGTCAGGATACTGTCCTTTCAAAAAGAAGACCTGGTCACTTGGTTTGAAGACATCACGGAAAGGGAGAAAAGTGAAGAAGTGCAAATATTTGCGGAGTGTTACGCGAGAACTACAGTGAATATAGCGACAGCTCTCGGATTCTTCTCGAGAATGTGTAGTCTGCAGTCACTGGAGAGGCTAGAGTCTGAACACCATTTAGAAGAATCATGGCCAAGTAGAAGAAGAATCATGACAAGAAGAATCATTTAGAAGAATCATGACAAGTAGAATCATGGCCTGGGGTGTTGCAGGTGACTCAAAAACACATCCGGAGCTGGAAAGTTGGTCTTGAGGCAGAAATGGGGTTTCCCATGAGCGAAGCTTATGGCCTGCCATTGAACGCAAAATCCTTGATAGGGTCAATGATGGCCAACCTGTGCGGAAGCCACTACCCACTGCACATAGCGATGGTGGAAGCATCCAGCCAAAGAGTACTGGTGGACAAGGCCTTCTCAGTACCCAAGTGCGTGAGGTTGGCTCGGATATCGCATCACTCGCACAAGCTGTTGAGAAAAATCAGAGGAACAGTACCAAGAGAATTGAGAGATGACTTGAGTGAAATCTGGGGAGAAGAACTTTTGAAGTTGGAGAGTGAGAACACAAGCGATCACGAGAGACAAAACGTGATTGGAAAACCTGGGGGAGGTGCTCCAAACATGGAAGATAGCGACACGATGCATGAAAAAATGATAGAGCTTGAGCCTCTCTTGGAAGCCTCGGGAGAGCGTAACCTCAGGAGCATTGAGATCACCCATGGAGAATGCCCATGCCACTGTTTGGCACAAACGGTGTGGTATCCAGATCACAAGAACCTTTGCCGGGTGTGTGATATGGAAAAAATTCGGTCGATCGGACTACCGGATCACCGGCAGAAGGTGACGCTCTTAGTAGTGAGTACGATGTTGGCTCTGAGATGGATAGAAGAGAATATAACGAAGTATCGGGAAGCAACGACGCCAACGGCTGAGTCAATATACGCGATAGACTACAGCAGGAGACTCGAGTTGTTTGAGACTGCGTGCAAAGTATTCGCCATACCAACGGAAGTCAGACACGTATGGAGCCGTTTGAGGTACTTTCCATGGTTTCGGGCGACGCTGACGTCTTGGTTGTACATGACAACGAAAGATCACATGAGGAAGCATCAAAAGGAGTATCGACAGTTCCAGGCCGAGATTGGGCCGGAAGCTTTCAAGAGACCCCTGTTGACCCACCGAAATGCGATCACGACAGGATGGAAGAGAGTGGGTAAGATGTCTAGAGACAATACCAAAGCGAGGGAATCGATACTAGAGGAGGACCTGGCGAAGAACGTGAGCTTGAGCCTGCACAACTCCTTTTGTTTGAACCGGGAATCTAGGGTGAAGGCACTACCCAACCAGGCAAAGAGGTTGCAGGAGCAAAGAGAATGGATGCGATCCTATGAACAGCTGAAGGCTTGGGAGGAGATCGTGATTAGCTCCGATGATGAAGAAGAACTGTTGAGACAGTTTGCCGTATCTAGTACTTCAGGGTGCGGCACCTCCAAGGCGAAGCGTGCGAGATGAGTGGATGGTTCGAATGGATCTTGAGTCTTGAGAGGGAAGGGGGGCTTGAGTGTGGATCCGGGTGAAACCTGGATTCACGAAAAAGAAATTTTAACGAATCAAATATTGTTATTAATATACTATATTTACTATATAAATGAAAATGCTGCATGACAATTTCCTGATTGAATGGGATAAAATAAATTTTAAATGATTGGCTTAAAAAGCGAGAATTCAAGGGTGCAGGTGTGTGCAGATTTTGATTGCTGTTTAGCGATAGTGTGAAAATTTTACATGGCCGTGAATTTTGGGGTGTAGATAAGCTTGAGTCTGCTGCAAACTTCTGTAAATGACCACTGGCACTGTACCTTGAGCAACACTCGGTTTTCGGGGACTCACTGGCAGAAGACAGCACGCGATGAGGACATCGATCTCGAGTCCGGGGAGTATGTGCCAGTCGGTCATATTTGGAAGTTTGACCTTGAGAGAAGCAAAAAGCACTTGATTTTGGAGTGAAATTTAATTTTTCAAAAATTCGAATGGAGCCTGTCATGCACGATTTTCTCGCGATAACTGAAAGTCAAAAAAGAGAAGTAAGAACAATCCAGTGACAATCGCGGGAAAGTTGCAAGATAAATCAGTAGGAAATTGCTATTCGCAATTTCCGACACGATAATAATCTAGAGTAGAGCTGTCCCATTCGAAACAGAGACAAGTGTATTCCCACGAACTGGATTATTGTGACTTGACTGGAGTGTTATTCTAAACTGGACTAGAGTGAACCTTCGGTGGAAAGGTGGACAGCTTGAGTGTCCCAATGGTTCACGAGAAACTACAGTCTAGAGTACAAACTTGTTCTTGTTGTTAAAACTGACAAACATTAAACTCATTTTAGTTACATTATTTAACTCTCGAGTTGATTACCGAATTGATTACTCCCAATTCTTGAGCGTGCTACAATGTGAGTACCAATTTAAATTTCTAGAGTGTGTTTTATAATTTTTATGTTGAGGTAAGGCGAGTTTTAGGTTGATCCATCTGAAATGGATCAAAGTTCCACTGTCTAATAAAAAGTAATATAACGGATTGTTCCGACCCGGTTTTTAATGGCGTTCATGTATTTTGGGTATCTAGAGACCTAAGTATGGGGACGTTCTTAATTCTAGAGTGGGGGGATATTTTAGTAGTAGCCTTTAAGCTGTAACGGATCGTAGTCTCATGTCACAAACGAACCGAATTGGCTCCGACTGATTTGAGGTAGAAAAACACAAGAGATAGTGTCCCTGACTCTTGAGCCAATGGTTATAGGGCCTATTTTTCTTAAGCCTCATGTGTGACTGCAGTAGACGAATGTTACATAGTGTTTTTATGGCGCTCCTGGGTGTTTACGACATCAAGACTACGGAGTCGAACCCACTTGAGACAGCTTCGGGCTGAATGCCCATTCTAGAGTACCGGCGGTGCGGTTCGACAGGAACGTGCAAACCTTCCGGTTGTACCGTGATAGCTTTTTAAGAAAACTCGAGAAAACTTCCTGGTACGCTCTCCGAACGAGGCATAGCTAACCGAGTAAAGGGGGGCAACTAGGGGGACAAAAACACGAGCAAAAAGACAAAAAGCAAAACAAAAACCAAAAAAGAATAGAAAAAGGAACAAAAACCATAAAACGAAAAAAGACAGTGACTTTGACACCAGATTAGTTGGATCAAACCTTTATATTAATTAAATAGTATACCCATACTGTTTTACAAGTTCGATCGTTTCGATCAACCTAGTAATTTAACCCAGTAACCTTAATAAAGAGCCCGAGTGTGGGGCGTTGTCAAGGGTTTTCAGATAGCTTGGAACTTAGCTGGACAACAAGGAGACTTGACTGGAAGAGGTGACCAGCAGAGTGGGAAAGTGGTTCAGGAGCACTTGAGCTGAACCAATAGCAGACTCGACTGAAAAAGGTGACCGGCCGAGTGGGAAAGTGGTTAAAACTGACAAACATTAAACTCATTTTAGTTACATTATTTAACTCTCGAGTTGATTACCGAATTGATTACTCCCAATTCTTGAGCGTGCTACAATGTGAGTACCAATTTAAATTTCTAGAGTGTGTTTTATAATTGTTATGTTGAGGTAAGGCGAGTTTTAGGTTGATCCATCTGAAATTGATCAAAGTTCCACTGTCTAATAAAAAGTAATATAACGGATTGTTCCGACCCGGTTTTTAATGGCGTTCATGTATTTTGGGTATCTAGAGACCTAAGTATGGGGACGTTCTTAATTCTAGAGTGGGGGGATATTTTAGTAGTAGCCTTTAAGCTGTAACGGGTCGTAGTCTCATGTCACAAACGAACCGAATTGGCTCCGACTGATTTGAGGTAGAAAAACACAAGAGATAGTGTCCCTGACTCTTGAGCCAATGGTTATAGGGCCTATTTTTCTTAAGCCTCACGTGTGACTGCAGTAGACGAATGTTACACATAAATTCAGGTTGGTGAACATGCCAATTACAACGGTACTCTTTTAGAAGTATCGACTTGCTAAACCACTTAAAACCTACTAGAATTACTCCAAAACATACTTGAAGCACTTCAACTTCGAGTAAGCAGAGAAGAAAAAGCTTTAAAAAATCTTCGTTAGGTTTATTATTCAGTTATCTACAAAATTATCAAAAATGCAAATCTATTGGCTTATATATTGCACAAAAACAACTATACTACAGAATAAGCGTTCATCGCTTCAAAAAAACTATTTAGAACTTTGCAATGGTAGAAATTGGACTACTTCAAAATGATGAGTGCCCAAAACAAATATGCCAGGGAAATAAACCAGAAAAACCAAGCAAAATTTCAAAATTTGCTTATCACTTTATTATGGAGACATGGTGCATTTTTCGAGACCAAGTTATTGTCTAAACATCCCACGAGTCGGTCATACGAAAGAAGTTTTAGTTGTTTTTAGTTCAACTGGAATTTATGAAAACTTCGGATTGACCCCATCATGCTCGAAGTCTGGCGATAACTGAAACGGTTACCATTGTTGCGATAAACTTATTAAATAGGTTCATATCATTGTGCGAGGTGGACGAAGAATTTCGATGAAAGGTATGTTACTGATGTTCTTAACACTCTAGATGAACAGGATCAATTTCGTCTTTCAGGCGCCTTGGGGCTTTTGATAGCGCCAACAACCGCCCAATATCCATTCTCGGCAAGTCTGCAAATGCATGGTCAGCTCGTAAATGTCTAACGAAAACATCTCTTTGAAAAAACCAACCTACTCCTGTATTCATCTTTAAATCGCTCTCTGGTGATCAGCTTGCTGTAGAAGAACGGCAGGGAAAGGTTGTTCCAGAAACAGAGCTTCAAATAAGAAATCTCAGATTTCTGCACAACAATACCGACGTTGAGAAAATTTTGTGACTCGATTAGTATTACTGGTTGGAATGCAAGAAGTTTTATCAGTATCCAAGAGATTTATGATAAAAAGTAGATTTCAAACGTTTTCGCAACTATGTGCATAGTCAGGATTGTGCCAGTCGGTCATATTTGGAAGTTTGACCTCGAGCAATACGAACATAGTAATTTTGGGGTGAAATGGAATTTTTCAAAAATTCGAATTGAGCCTGTCATGCTCAACTTTCTCGCGACACCTGAAAATCTCAGAAATACAAGATCAGAACAACCGAATTACAATCGCGGGAAAGTAATCGATAAAGCAGCGGAAAATTGCTATTCGCAATTTCCAGACATAAGAATCACAACAGAGTAGAGCTGTCTTATCCTGAAAGAGGAGACAGAACAATTGCGAAAGAGGAAGACATTAATTCGAAGTGGACCAGAGTGAACCTTCGGTGGAAAGGTGGACAACCGAGGTCTCCCAATGATCCAGTGTGACATTCGACCAGAATGTGAAAAATGCAATCTCTGCAGAATTCGAATTTTTAGCAGCGAGCCTTCCGTATTGATGATTATTAAGAATTAAGAACGTTATTGGAACGATTAGCCAAACGGTGAGGGCTAGAATATTCTGGTATTTTAAAATTTTAAAAATTCGAAGTGATGACGTAACATTTCTGAGAAACGTCAGAAACGGCCATTTTGGCAAAGAAGTAAAAGAAAAACACAACAACATTAGTTGCGCGGACGAGAAGTACGAAAATTGCGAGAAAAAACAATAGCCGATTGCAGAAATAGCAGTGAACACTCCGAGTTGCAACTATTGTGTCGCTACAATAGTTGCAGGGCCGTTGCAGACAACGGTGAAGGGTGGAGGACAGCCTTCCGGATTAAGAGGAAGTCAAGATTAGCGAGCTTGATTCAGTGGATTCGAGAATCCGGAAGGGTTTCGGGACTGAAATTTTTAGCCTGTTATATAAACTTTTAGCTTCTTGTCATGTCCTGATTTGAATTTAATTAACATCTAGATTCATTTTGATAAGGATGAGAAGCTAGGCTTGGGGGAAAGGGTTGATCCATCTTCGATGGAGATGAAGATTTTTATCTACTGAACAAAAACAATAGTAATATAATCAATAGTAGTAGCCCTGTTTTTAGGAGTGACCTCGTGGTCTGGGGATACTGAGACCCAGCCATGAGCTCACTATTTCTGCATGTAATCTAGTTAATTTGAGTGTTTTGACCGAAGCCGGAAGCAGCAACGTTTTTGTCGACCCGATGTTAGAAAAGACCACCGAAAGTACTGGCTTGGTAGAGACGGTGAAAAGCATGCAAAGCTCTGTTTAGACGTTAGCCAGTCGTCTTAAGACTTAGTTTTGTTTTCCGTCGATATGTATCTTCCGGGCGAATGTTACACAGCCCCAAAACTTATTTTCTCAAGTGAAAACTCATTTCACTTGCTGGAATTCGTTAATTACAAACTTCTTGAGTTAAAATTTATTTTCCTTTAATGCTAGAGTTGCTGATTAATTTAGTTACTCCAATTCTCGAGTGTGCTGGTATGTGAGTACCCAATTTAGTTTTCTTGAGTGTGTTTTGTAATTATTATGTTGAGGTAAGGAGAGTTTTAAGTTGATCCATCTGAAATGGATCAAAGTTCCACTGTCTAATAAAAAGTAACTATACGGACTGTTCCGACCCTGTCTTTGACGGCGTTCGTGTATTTTGGGTATTTTGAGACCTAAGGATGGGGACGTTCATATTTTCTAGTCTAGAGTGGGGTGGGGGGTATTTTGGTAGTGTCCTTTAAGCTGTTACGAGGGTTCTAGTGTCATGTCGCAAGTGAACCGAATTGGCTCCGACCGTTCGAGGTAGAAAAACACAAGAGATAGTGTGCCTGGCTCTTGAGCCAACGATTATAGGGGCTATTTCTTTAACCTCATTTGTGACTTAAGTAGGCGACTGTTACATAGTATTTTTATGGCGCTCCCGGGTGTTTTTACGACATCATGACTACGGCGTCGAACCCACTAGACACAGCTCCGGGCTACATGCCCATTCTAGAGTACCGGTGGTACGGTTCAGCGGGAACGTGTAAAACTTCCGCTCGTACCGTGATAGCTTTTTAAGAAAACTCGAGAAAACTTCATGGTACGCTCTCCGGACGAGGCCTAGCTAATCGAGTAAGGGGGGGGGGGTTGGGGAACTAGGGGGACAAAAACAAGGAGCAAAAAAGAAAAAAAAAGCGAAACAAAAACCGAAAAATAAAAGAAAAAGGAACAAAAACCATAAAACAAAAAAGGACAGTGACTTTGACACCAGATTAGTTGGATCAAACCTTTGTATTAATTAAAAAGTATACCCATACTGTTTTCATAAGACCGATCGTTTTGATCAATTCAGCAATTTAAAAAAGTGCCCGAGTGTGGGGCATTGTCAAGGGTTTTCAGATAGCTTGCAAGTTAGCTGGACTACTAGGAGACTTGACTGGAAAAATTGACCAGCCAAGTAGGAAAGTGGTTCACAGAAAAGGAACCCGACAAGTGCTGGACACGACAAGGAGACATCCAAGACCGACGGGACCGAACAGAGAAGGCACACAGGGGTGTTTTGTTTGGTCAATCAACGGACCACTGGGAGACTTGACTGGAACAGGTGACCAGTCAAGTGGAAAAGTGTTGCGCTGGTGAGAGGTGCTGGACGAGCCAAGGAAACAACCAGCACGGAATCAAAACTACCAAAGGAGGACACACAGGAGTGTTCTGGTTGGTTAATCGGGTATCGTTAGAATCCACATTACATTATAGGGGATAGGTGTAAAATTGGATAAGCGGAACCCCAATGTTTTGAGGAACGTTTTTACTTGAGCAGAGCTTGGAAACAAGTTCTACGGTTTTATCTCAAGAGGTTTAGCTTAAGGTAATTTTCGGCTTAAGAGGGGGACTAATTAGGGGGGAGGTTAGAAGGAGGGCAGATTAGGTTAGAGGTTGGCGGTTGCAAATTGTAAAAAGGGGGACACGTTATAGTAACTAATCAATCGATATCGTCGATTTAGTTACATTATAATCTTACACGCGTGATTTGCAGAAAGAGGATATCCAAACTTAAGATCGAATTAAGCTAGGTACCCTGGTCGGATCGGTTGGGGGGAACGGAAATAGACAGTTTTTGTAACCCGGAAGGAAAATACCCCATAAGAACGTTAGTGGGGGGGGGGGGGAAGAAAACGCGTGACAATCAGGTACCAGACATTTTTTTAACAAAAGGATGACATTGGTCACCTTTGAATTTTAGGTGGGTTCATCTTGCTGTTTTCATTGTTTTTTCTTGATTAAGTTTTTACGTTTTCGGTACCAACTTTATCGGTTTTGAACGGACAGGTGATTACAAGACACCTGCGAACAAGTTGGATTTCAACTTGCATCAGAATAATAAAAAGTAGATAAATACAATGGGGTTAGAAATTGAAACTTTTGGCCTGTGAGGTTGGGTTTTGGGGAAATTTTTATACTAGAGCTCGCATATTTTTCACGAATTGAAAGATTTTAACTTAAGAGAATTAGGAATACTTTTTAAAATTTTTATCCTTAGAATAGAATTTTGTAAATATAAATATTGTAAATAAGAAAATTGTAAATAAGAAACATGAGGCGAAGTAGGGTACCGATAGCAGAAAAAATAGTTCTAGAGTCAAAGACAAATCATAACTCCGTCGGTCCAAAAAGTAATGAGAAATAACTTTTCAGTGAGCATGGTCAACACGAGAAGCGCAAATGAGAGCAGAACGAAAGTAAGCGCTGAGGAAGGTCGAACAGTACATGCTACAGAAATTGATCTTGAGACACCAGATCAGAGTGTTGATGAGGTGGAAAGGAAAACAACGGAATCAACACCGATGCCGAATGTGGAAGAACAAGAAAAGAAGACGATAGAATTCTCGCTGATTGACATTGTAGACGATACAACGAGCAACACGCCGGAAACGATAAAGGATGGCTCTCAAACGAAAAGAACGTCGTTCACAGAGAGGATTGCAATGATGGTCGGAATGAAACCAAGAGAGAAGGAGGAAATAACACCAACGACCGAGGTAGGCAAGACATTTGGAACGGTTCCTGCAATAACAACAACAGACAGTCGAGACGATGATCAGGTCGATTTTCCATGAGCCAACAGTTAAAAATGGGACAACAGCTAACCAAGAGAAAACAACTTTTCTTGATTTGGGCGACTTGATGGCGAAGTTGGAACAAATCGACAAAAAACTGAAGTGCAGTGAAGAGGATCGACAAATGCTAAAAAAAGGAGATACGATACAATAAAAGCAAAAGTCTGGACAATTGCTTCAATCTGGCTAAGGCAGCTGAAGCGAGGCTAGAGCAAATGTCAGACAAGGTGGAGGCTACCGACAAGGAGAGAGAGAAAAATATCAAAAAAGACATGCACGAAATGAAGCAACGGTATGGCACTGTGAACAGTAAGTTAGGGAGTCTGGAGACGAGAATAGACACAATGAGCAGAGACCAGGCTGAGAGACCATATGCCATTCAGTCCAAAATGGATGCTATATTGAGAAACTCTACATCACAAGACAAGCTGGTAACAGATCGAACGCAAGGCAACAGATTCGATTTCGTGGAACCACAACGGAACAAGCGAGAGT